GAGGATGTTTAGAAATAGCTTACTTACACTATCTGATCCGGTTACCCTCTCAGAAAAGCTCTTGAAGATTAGGGTAAATAAACCATTCCACATAGGAGGGAGTTTTGGCTTCTTGAATTTAGAGACGACAACAAGATAATCTTTGTAACCCATATTGTAGAACATCTCCAGAAGAGCAGAGTTGGAAATGGTTTTAGGATCAATCAAATTACGACCCTGAGAAAATCCTAGCAGGCGATAGAACCTGGACTTGGTATTGTTGGTCTTTTGGTCGTCATACTGTGTAGAAGTGTAGGCCTTAGAGAGAAGAAACAATGGAACGTTCTCCATTTTTGAAAGTGTAGTAGCCAGTGGAGAATAATGAAGACACTCGATGAGAGGCTGAATAAACGTGTAATACTTTGATGGATCAAGGTCAAGAATAAAGTTTTGGTTAGGCTTGATACCCAATAGACTTGACGAAGCGGTTTGACCGGCAACAGAGGGAGTATAAGATAAAGTTTCCATTGAAATTAGTTGAAGAAGATGATGAATAGTCTTGAGAGAAAAGAGGGTTTTAATAGTCGTTAGCAAAAGGTCTTTGAAACAGTAATGAAGAATGAAAGTAACGAAGAGAACTACGAACCAGACTTTTTGAAAATCATAAAAATCTTTGTGCAAGAAAGTGACAAAGATAAAGAAATAAAGAAAAAATTCTAAGGGATTCTGGTGATGTCTATAAAGATATAAATCAGTAGGATCCCGGGCAATGATCTCTTCCTTCGGAGTCAATAAAGACTCGGAAGTGTCTGTGTGGTTTCCCATTGAATTACAGTCATCTGTTTGTAAGAAAATAGTGAAATACATCTTTTAAATAAGTCTTAAGGGTGGCTTCATCTTCAACCAAACTTCGAAACTTGACATAAGACCGAGCGTTCAAAGAAGTACTTGCCTGACCGGTGTAGCCATAAGAACACGTATGCTTCGGAATAAATTTAAGTGGATGCAACACTGTAGAAATATAAAGAAAAATAAAAAATTGGATCTTATGGGAAGAAATGTCTTAGGTATAGAACATTACATTAACATCTTGTAAAAAATAAAAAGAGATTTCAAGGTACGAACCACAAAAGTGGAGTTTCGTTAATTCCATGGTGATTAATCTATAACATTTAAATTGTTCACCATTAATTCGTAAATATGTGTTGGATTTTGGGTTTCGCTCAATTATTCATTGTGATAACGAATTTAAATCATAAACACAGAATTTGTGTAACCATAAACCTCAGTGGTAAAATCTAAGAGTCCCAAGGGTTACGTTTATGGAAGCGAAAGTGATGGAGAAATTTTGCGAGGTGGTTCTGAAGATGAATGTACATCTGCTATACGAAAGAATGACCATAGCAGTCAACTCTTAACTCAATATGAGAAAGGGAAAGGTAGATCAATGACTTATGTGACTAATCAGCCTGATTGGGAAGAAACGATTGGTATTATCGAATCATTAAGGCTTCAAACAGAGAGTCTCGGAGGCTTCGGACAACATGCAACAACGTGCTTCTAGGGACTCTTAACTAGTATAAAGATTTATAGTTAAATATCTTCCCCATTATTCGCAATTGAGAGTTTTATGATCTATTCCTTCAATCTCGCTCAATTGTGTATTATTTTTGGCATTTTGATATTTTCATAAAACGAAATAAAATCGAAAATATTTTTTGATTTTTGAATTTTTTTTGAAAAGAAATAAAAGCAGAAATAAAGAAAAATTTTGAATTTTGGATTTTTTGAAAAAGAAATAAAACCAGAAGATAAAAATGAAATCACAAGTGTACAGAAACTTAATAAAACAAAATATACAAAGGATAAAAGGAGTTCCGAACCTCTGATTGAATAGTAGACTGCGAGTCACTCTGAGCGTTCAGACTAATTCGTAGCGTGAAAGTATACTCTGAATCTCTCCAAGAATTCAGATCAATTTGCAGTTCATCCAATAGATTATAGGTGTGAAGGTATATTCGGAACTGATTCTGCTTCAATATTTCCTAAGCCTTGAAGTATTCTATTAAACGTTTGTTAAGGCAAGGCTTTGGTGACGATATCGTCCAGTTGATCAGTGGATCTAACAAAGTGAATCTCTACATTTCCATACTCCACATGATCCTTAATGAAGTGATACCTCAGTGCAATATGTTTGGTCTTCGAATGTTGCACTGGGTTATGGCAACTATGAATGGCACTTTCGGAATCGCAGTATAAGGGTATTCTTTTCATGTAAATGCCATAGTCCCTTAACTGACTTTGAATCCATATCACCTGCGAGGTACAGGAGGCGGACACTATATATTCAGCTTCGACGGTCGATAGGGAGATGCATGTCTATTTTTTCGATTACCAATTCACAAGTTTTCCATCTATAAATTGACATCCATCAGTTGTAATTTTTCAATCAAGATTGCAACCTCTTAGATCTGCATCTGAGAATGCTTTTACAAAGAACCTTGAACTAGATGGGTACCAAATTCGGAGCAAGGATGTTTGTTTTACATATCTAAAGATATTCATTACAGTAGTCATGTGGGGTTCACGAGCGTTTTCTTGAAACCTAGCATAATAGCAAACAGAAAACATGATGTCTAGACGACTAGCAGTTAGATACATCAATGAACCTATCATTTGACTAAAGAGAGCCATATCAACAGCTTGTTTGTCCAGAGAAGGAGTTAGATTCATTCTAAGTGCCATTGGAACCTTCACCTCCGAATCACCCACCATTCCAATCTTCGCAAGTAGGTTCATCATATAATCTTGCTGGTTGATAAAGATTCCCTCATGACTATGTCTTATATTCAAACTAAGAAAAAAATTAATCGGACCCATTAAGACCGTCTCAAACTTAGTCTTCATCAACTTTCGGAACTCTGCAGTTAATATAGGATTAGTAGATCTGAAGATGATATCATCAACATAGATTTGGACAATCATTACATGGTTACCATCTTTCTTGTGAAAGAAGGTTGGGTCGACCGAGCTTTGTTTAAGTTTAATTTTTTTAAAGAATCAAGTAAGAGCTTCATACCAGCCTTGTGAACTTGCTTCAGACTATATCCTGCTTTGTCCATAATGTAACCGTGGTTCGGATATTTATTGTTTATGAACCCAGGTTGTTGTTCCACATACACCGTGTCTTCTACGTCCCTATTCAGAAAGGCACACTTGACATCCATTTGATAGAATTTAAAGTTCTTGTGTGCTACATATGCTAGAAATATACACATAGATTCCAGTCTTGCAACTGGTGCGAAGGTTTCCTTGTAGTAAATCCCTTCTTCTTGACAATATCCTTTGACTCCTAACTGACCCTTATTTCGTATCATATTCACCTCTTTGTCAAGCATATTACGAAACACCCATTTTAAGCCACACCTTGTTTTGTTCAAACTCATTGAGCTCCACCTGCATTGCTTGCACCCAATTGGAATGATCAAGAGCAATCTTAACATTTTTGTGTTCAATCTTAGAGATAAATGAATTAAACATGCAAAATTCCACTTTGGAGAATAGTGTAGTTTACTTTGCTTTCTGTTGTGCTCTCGTAAGAACTCCTGAAGGTACTTATCTGATTACCTACTTTTTAGGATGATCTCTGGTCCATTTCGTTAGTAGAGGGTAGCTCATATCGTAAGATGGATCTGGTTCCGCATTCACTTCTTCAAATTCTGACTAAACATCCGAATCATCATTTGTATTCATATTCTCCCCCTCGAATGATGGATTCAGCTCTTCTTCCGTACTTGGATTCTCCCCTGGATTGGACGTTCTAACCTGATTTCAGGGACTTCATGCTCCCCCTGAATAAGTGTGTTAAAAGAAGAGGTTGATGTGAAACCCTCCCCATGAAGTGGAGCATTCGCAACTTGAGGTTGAGACGGAAATTCATATTCTTTTAGAGTGAGTGGCTCTTGTTCCATATATTTTGCAGCGTCATCAATAATCTTTTTCAGCTCGTCCTCCTTATTATCTGTTGTCTTGAATTCCGATGAGATTTCCTTATGTGGCTCATCTAATAGATTCAGATATTATTCACAAAGACCAGAAAAATAAATTGACATCGGATTGGTTGTTGGAAAATTTTCCTCTGATTGTAAGTCAGTCTTCTGATACTTCTTAAAATACCTTTCATCAAAAGTGACATAATTGTTCTCTTCTATTTGTCTTGACTTTTTGTTGAGAACCCTATATGCCTTCGAAGTCATAGAGTACCCCAATAAAATTCCTTCATCTGCTTTCACATCAAATTTATTTTGTTGCTCCCATGAATTGAAAAGAATACACTTGGAGCCAAATACATGAAAGAACTTAACGTTAGGCTTTCTTTTGTTAAGAATTTCGTAAGGGGTGATGGAGAATCTTTTATTAAGGAGAGATTGATTTTGAGTAAAACAATTTGTGGCAATAGCTTTTTCCCAAAAGTAAATCGTTAGGTTCGCAAACAAAATCATGGTCCTCGCAGCTTCGCACAAAGAATTGTTCCACTACTAGAAAAACAGCCTTTTACGATGCTCATTGCGCGTCGTAAAAGGCTCAGACGACGCGCAAATGCGCGTCGAGGAAGGCCCTGTCATAAAGAGAGACGACGCGCTTTTGTGCGTCGTCTATAGACGATGCGCATTTACGACGCCCGTTTATGACGCGCAATTACAACATCCGTTTACGACACGCAATGCGTATCAAGGAAGGCACTGTCATAAAGGAAGACGACACACATTCGCATGTTGTAACCTTACGACGTGCGTGTTAATGACACGCAATGCGTATCAAGAAATCCCCTATCAAGAAAGGCCATGTCATAAATGAAGATGACATACATTTTTGCGTATCGTAATTTTAAATGTTTAAAAAAAATATTATTTATAGATTTAACTATTTTCAAATTAAATTTGTATTTTATGTTTCATAATAGAAAATAAAATATCATATACAGAAAATAGAATCCATTTCATAAATTGCATAAGCTTAATGTCATCCAAAATAAAATACCATACATAAGAACAATAATTCATTTAAAAAAGATATCACATGTCAAACAAGTTACCTAACATTACATAACAAACAACACTACATGTCAACAGTAATAACACTTAAAAACATTATTTTTCCTGCATTTGGAGCACCCACTATTCCTATATCAACAACCAACTTTAGGTGCAATTCCATCCACCTGTAATATTGACCTTCATCAGTTCAATTGTACATGACTAAATGACAATACTTATATATAACTATTGTAGTGCAAAGAAAAAAACATACGGGAGACTCTCCAATATGCAATGTGGGCATTGTGCGACCAAGCTCTAGCAAAAGATCACCTAAATGTTGCATTGCAAGCCCAGACTGCATGGCTTCTGATTGGATTTGGGTTCTCACTGTGACATCAACAGTACAACCTTCCTCAGTGCAAAATCGGAACATTTGAACTTCTTTCTTCTGCCCAATTCTATGAGCACGATCCTGAGCTTACAAATCCGCTTGTGGATTCCTACAAAATTAAATTTATATTTGAAACATCAAATAATCTTCTAGAATGTCCAGCAGCCTTGTCATCTACTATATAGTACACCACAAATTCTTTTAATATAATAAGAATTAGACTTGATTAAACCAATACTTTCATGTTGCATAACAAATATAAATATAAATGTTAAAAGTATGAACCTGTGAGAATATCAGCACCCTTGAATCACGTTCCTTCAATTTTGGAAGCAACTTATCTAGAAGCACCATTTTTCCTGTGATTATAGAAGAATGGGCATCAGGTATAATCAGGTTTAATAAGACACTTCAATTTTGACCAAAAGGGTTATATGCAAGGGCCTTTCAACGTTTTCCCTTGTTTTTCTCTTGTTTTGTACATTTGGTCTGTTTCCAAGGGACTTTTTTTTGTCTTACTTCTAGAAGTAGTCACATTCTCTATTTGATGCTCGGGGCCTAAAATTCCAAGATAAAAGTGTGAACATGTATCTCAAGTTATATATGCCTTCTGAACTAATACCTGAATTTTGAGGTTCTGTTTGAGTGATAAGTATGTTGACTCCAGAAGAAACTTCCATGCTCTTCTAAATTTTCACTAGAGTGTCCAAATGAGGTGCAGGATGAATCTCTGGAACAGTTAAGATTAGGTTCGTTACTAATTAGGAAACTTCAAAGGCTTTCTGTAATGCTTTCTATTGCTGATGTCATTCCAGATTTTGTCCTCATTGTAAAATATACTACTTTTAGTGTATCTCAAGTAATTAAAGAGTCCACGTAAACAACCAAAAGCAATAAATCTGTGTTTTTTTTGTTAATGAACTATCAATGGTGTAGCTAGATGTACCAAGTCTAGCAGTTGTGTATGTAGCTTGTCTAAGTAATTCATCAGAAAGACCGTGTTCAAAACAATTTGCTTCACAAATCAGTAGAAGAAGAATGATGAATGTAGTACTAAGGTATGATAAAAGAAATGAGAATTAGGGAAGGGGTTATGAAGAATCAGAGTAAGATCAGCCTTACAAATCTATTGAGATGCAAACGGGGGAAGATTTTGGCGGGGATTGGAATCTCTGTCCCCGGCCGACGGATACCCATTTAGTAAAACTTGTAATCAAACCAAGCCAATCATGATCTAACCAAGCTCAGCTAGTTTATACTTAAAATGCTCGAGAATTAAAGCGTTGTTTTCTAGTAGTGGTTATATGTAATTTTGTTTCCCAAATTACTTTAGCACCACTTTGCAATGTACACTAACGAGAATTATAAATGTTTGCGGATCAGTTGCACATAACAAATAGTAAATTAATGAACTATTCTATAGTTAGTCTACAAATTTTGTTTAAATATGTAAAATGATGAAAAAGAACATTTTTACATAGTATTGGTATATTTGTTGTTTTACATAACAGTTCCTCTTTTATTATTTATACTCTTATAAAATTTTATATCAAGATTCAAAGGTGGTAAAAGTGTAAAATAAGTAGTATTTGTATGTGCAGCAGCATCAATTTGAACGTTCAAAAAAGTGTTTTTTAGTATGTATGCTTTGAAGCTGCTTAGTAAGTTTATGAAAAAAAATAAAAATAATAATAATAATAAAGAATATCGGCAAAGACGCATGTAGGGAATAAACATGTTATGGTGCTTTGTATAAGGCATAAGATGAGCAGTACAATATAAAACTTACAGGTCAACTTGTTGATGCAATTGTGATTAAGAACTTAAACAAGCATAGTCAGTCTTATTTTACTTTTTGGAAGAAACAAAACCTCCAAATCCCATCATAGCTGCAACATCAGGGTCCACCTCGATTTCCCCCTCTACTGCCTTCTCTTTCTGTTAAAAAAAACACAACACATCCTTCCTGCATTACTATTTATTTCCTATTATCTTTATTATATAACTTTTATTAAGTGGGGCCACAAAAGTTGGTGAAAATTATATTACCTTCTTTTCTTTTTTTCCTTTCTCGCCTTTGACGCTTCTTTTCCTCCTCTTCAAGCTTTTGTTTTAAGATCCGGTCATCAAGATATGTTTTTTATATAATAACATCAACTACCAAGTCTTCACAAAATGGATTTGGAGAGGGTATTCATGTCTTTTGCACTGACTGAATCCATCCCTATCCCTTTCTTTCATCACCTTTTTGGGTGGGACAGAATTGTAATTTTTTATTTTGTCTCTCAGTTACATTTTTTAATAAAAGTGGGTCTGACCTTCCATTCTCTTTTCCATGATCCAACCTCTCCTGGTGGAGCTATCCCAATATAGGCACCATTTGATGTGATACCTGCAGCTGAAGGCGGACCTGCCATGGGTGGTGGCACAAGAGTTGCCACCACATGTGCCACCTAGACTACTTCATGCCCATTGCGATTCTAAAATCCCAGATTTTAGCCCCTGTGAAGTAAAAATGATTGTGAATGAATCAAAATTAACTTGGAACTATGTCAGTGTCAGAGTAATTCATATGCAAAAATCCACCGAATAGAAAACTAAACACAACTCAAGATCTTAGCTTTTTTCCCCTTTGAATATGTGATGTCGTATTTACCTTACAACAAATTAACAATGATCTAAAAAACACTATTCTATTTAACATTTTCATCTTCCTATGCTAACAAATAATCATCTCTAACCAGTTTCAGTTTCATATTCAGATGATAAAGTAACTTCATATAATAAATAGTATATATCATATATTCAGCATTAATTATATATACAATAGTTATGTGGCTTCGGGCTGAGGTGTTGTTTGTTCTTCAATAATCGGTTCACATTTCTTCTCAAAATCCCCTTCAGTTTTATTGCCAGCTTCAGGCAGTGGTAGAGGCGTAATAACCACATATGGTGCTCGATCTGTTGGAATATGAGCATTTGAAGCCACTATCTTTTTTTCCTCTGGACCTGGTAGGGCAAGCCTTGCACTGCACCATTATAGATGATTGCTTCATTATTTAAACCATTAAAAAAATAAAAAGTATATATATGTGGATAGATTCATGTACCTTGCAAAAGCACTGGCAAAGTTTCTACATTCAGCTCTCATTGGACATGCATTATGGCTTGGTTTACTTTTTGTGCAAAAAAACTTTCCAAATGTAATCATCTGGTAGTGTAGCTCATATCTATCAAAGAAGCACATATTAGTGATTATCTTTTTATATTTTATGATGTATGTATAGTTACAAACTTACAATGTCAATTGATCCAACTTGCACAGTCTGGGCCAAAGATATTTCTGAATGGAATGCAACACTGGATACATCTCAAGTAGATGCAATTGTAGGGACTCTGGTAGTGGTTGCAGAGGAACCCACCCCGGTCTCACTGCTATCCTCCCAACATTTGTGTCCACCTGGCAAACATGATATCATGAATATGTAAGAGTAAGACTTCACTAACATGTCAAATTTTATAAAGTTTCAATTTTTGAAGTTTGAACATTGACTTACACGGAAGGCAAGATGATGAAGTGTTAATAGACATTGCTTGCTTTCTCAAGTTGTCCCAGTTCATTGCTATATTTCTTTCATCCTCAGCTATCCGCTTTTTTTCCTTGGACTTATTTGCCCCTGCCCTACTTGTTGATTCTTTAGATCTTCTGCTTCTGAACTTGACCCTGAGCTTAACGTATTTGCCCCTGCCCCGTTTGGTGGTTCTTGAGAAACATTCAGCTCCTTTGAGTTTGCTTCAACTTTGATTGGCATTCCTTCAAGAATGACGGATTCCTGTTTTTTGGCATCTTTCATCATGTGCAGTTGTTAGATTATCCGCTTCTTTTTTTTGGGTACCATTTTCACCATGTGCAGTTGTTAGATCTTCTGCTTCTAAGTTTGCCCCTGAGGTTGATGTATTTTCCCCTGCCCTACTTGATGGTTCTTGAGAAACATTTTGCTCCTTTGAAGTTTCTTCAACATTTTATGACGTCTTTTTCCTCTACTAATTCTAAGGGTTTTTCAAATCCCCCATCTTGGAAGATAGTTTTAAAGGGGAATTTTGTTGCAAGAGCCATGAAGGCAGAACTGCATACATTATAAGAAAGAAAAAGCCCATATGTTGCTATTATTAGCAGGTTTTATTTCTAAAGCTAAATCAGACAACACAAACCTTGAAAGATGATCCGAAACATTCTATGTGAGAAATACACCAAACACCGAATCAACAATAGATCCTTTCCATCTTGAAAATCGTCTAGCTCTTGAAAAAGGTAAAATTTAAATAAAGTCTTTTATGAATACTTTTTATTTTAATCTGGATATAGATGATATATATATATATATATATATATACACACACACACACACACCTTAAACAAGATGCATACGCGCAATTAATGAATCAGCACATCCATGAAACACTCTTCTTTCATTTTCCCACCATTTTTCTTTATCTTTTTCTAGATTCTCACCACCACCATCACCACCACCACCCTCACTCCCTTCCTTCCCTATTAGTACCCTCCAAAGCCTGTCTGTTTCTGGATCCAGGTCAACTTTAAGGCGTTGAATTCTTTTCTTTATAGCCTCAAATGGAACAATGGCATCACTACCTCTGTATAAAACAAGTTCATTTTCTCTTTTCTTTTTTTCATCATAGATATGCATACGTTGTAGCTTATATGTAACATATTCAACTAAAACTTCATCTTTCTCCACCCTCCATCCACTTAATGCACCCTGTGCTATGTCAAAATGTCAATGTCAATGGATGTGACATTTGTTTCTTATAACATTCTTCTCTCAATCTTCAGAAACTTAACTTATTGTATGTAATTTATAAACCAATTTTTTAAACACAACTTACACTATTATTCTCCTCAGTAGTAATCTCCTCAACATCCAAACTAAATTCCAGAACAACAGATGCTGCTTTTTCCACCGTATCTTCACTCTGCATAATGATGGTGTTGTTTGTTAGATTAGTAGACATGTCCTTATCCTGCAAATACCAACAAATAATATAAGAGAGAGAGAGAGAGAGAGAGAAGTAAGCATGAATAAGGAAGTCCTTGAGATTTATGAAATAGTAGAATTCTAGAAGAAATACCAGACTGCATCGACAATGACAACCAGTAATAAAACACAATAAACTCTCTTCTCTCTCTTTCTACTCGTTTTTCTTTTCTTTCACATTTACTGTTCAGTCTTGTCGCGCACACACACACCATCTGGGAAGTAGGATGACGTGAACGATGGTGAAGGTGATAGCCGACGGTGGCTGGTTTAGGGCTTTTAGAGAATATGAGATATTTTTGTTCAGAGAGAGAAAGTGGAATCGATGAGAATGTAAGCTTCGGTTACTGTATACCAAATAAACCGATGTAAGCTTGAATGAAAGTAGAATCGATAAGAATGTAGAGAGCCCCAAATTGAAACCTTGTCCAGTAGAATCGATTTGAGAGTGATTGTTGGATTTATTGCTTCCCTTTCCCGGTTCGCTTACCCTTTAGTTACCCTAGTCGATCAATTCAAGCTTTCACGAAAAACCCTAGGTAGCAACTGATGGAGACAAAAAGGATGGGGCGAAGGTAGGATTGGATCCAATTTCAAAGAGTAACAGTAGATTTCACTGAAAACCCTTTCCCGGTTCGCTTTCAATAAAAAACCCTAGGTAGCGACCGAGAGAGACAAGAGGGAAAGGAAGAAGCGTCAATAATTTGGGCAAGAGGGAAAAAAGAAAAAGATGTGGGATTTTTAATTTTTTAAGATTTCATTTTTCCCCCTGGATGGAACGCACGTTCCATTAAAAATTATAAAGTGACATCTTTAGATGACACACGCTTTATTATAGGTGCCCTCCGTGTTTTTACTTTTTTTCGTTTAGACACTAATTTAAGGGCATGCAATAATGAGCGACATAAATCCTTAAATTTTTTGAAGAGACAACACTTTTTTAATGTCACTCCCTTTTGCGTAACATAAATCAGTGAGTGTCGTTGTTTGCACGTCGTAAAAGTGTCTTTTTCTTGTAGTGTTCGTCTTTCAAAAACCCCATTTTTTTGGAGTGTAAGTAGCCAAGAAGTTGTGAGCAATTCCATTGTGATTCAGGGATTCTTTAAACACCTGGTTTTTGAACTCTGAACCATTGTCACTGCCAACGTTCCGGACAAGCTTTCGCAGTTGAAGCTCAATCATCATGATAAAGTACTTAAGCTTGGAAGTGGCTATAGATTTCTACATAAGGAAATAAACCCACGTAAATATAAAAAAATCATCAACAATTACTAAGATATACTTGTTACCACCAATGCTCTCGATATTCGACAGACCATAGAGATCTATATGTAAAAGCTCATCTGGCAAAATCACTTTGGTGTTTATGATTGTTGAATGACTCTTCCTGCTTTGCTTCCCTAGTTCGCAGTTGGCACAGAAATGATACTTCTCAAACTTCAACAATGGGAGCCCTCACACATGATCACCAAGTACGATTTTGTTGATGTCTTTGAAGTTGAGATGTGAGAGCCTTCGATGCCAAAGCCAACTATCATCCAAAGACGCTTTTGAAAGAAGGCACATGGCAGACTTTCCTTTGATAGGATTTAGATTTAGTGGATACAACTCGCCTTTTCTCTTGGACTTCAGCAACACTGTTTTGGATTTCTTCTCGATTATCTCAGATGCCTCATCGTCGAACGACACTTTCAAGCCCATAACTACAACCAATTGAGATACACTTATTAGGTTGTGTTACAGGCCTTCCACATAGCTACCTTTCAAATAGAGAATTCCCCATTCATAATCATTCCATAACCCTTAATTTCCCCAAGAGAGTTATTACCATATTTGAATCTCCCTCCATCCTTCAACGCTTTGAACTCTCTCAACTCTTCCTTCATTCCTACTATGTGATGTGGGCAGCCACTGTTAATGTACCATTTAGAGTCAAACAGCTCGTTACAAATCACCTACAAACATCAAAGAGATTTAGGAACCCAAAGTTGTTTGGGTCCACGTGAGGTTTTCATAGTAACAGGAAAAGTAATTGCTTCATCAACCAAGTAAGATCGTTTAACCAATATTGAATTGTCTTGTTTTGTGATTTTAAAAACAACGTTCCTTTTTTAGTTCGGGTTCTTTTCTTTAAAATAAAATTTTCTTTGGTTATCACTGATTTGATGGTTTTCATTCTTTTTCTCAACCTTCTTTTCCTCCTTTTAAAGGTGAGTTTCGGACTTCTTGAAAGAAACTTTAGATTCCGAAACTACCTTTTCTTTTCCCTTAACATCTTTCAATGTGTTGTAAGATTGTGAAATATTAGATTTAGAAGAAATTTTTTGTTTTGAGCTCTCCATAGGTTTTATTTTTTTTGAAAATTGTGACTTCTGAAAAACTTTTGTTTGTGAAACCTATGGAGTGTTAGAGTGAGGTTTTGAAAAACTTTTAGGTTTCAGAGTTGAAGAGACATTCGCACTATGTTTTGCAGATCTTTCTTGATAAACAAACTTGGGATTTATGGATTGCCAGAATTTCATTCTTTCTTTTATATTTGATTTTATCTAGCATTTCTTTAGCATTTCTAAGCAGCGAATTGCTCAACAGACTTATGAAGATTTGTCCTAGGTTTTGGCTTTCCAATAGGAGTTTCGGACTTTTCAGATGACACATCTATAGGAACATTCTTGGTTCCACTTGGACTTCCTTTTTCGTAGATAGAATTGACCTTGTTCAAAGGTTCTGCCACATAGATTCCCTTCATCTTCCAAGAGGTCATTTCTGAGAGACCTTTGGTTTCAGTAGTGTTGTCAATGGGTTAGACTAAAAATATTCTTCGCACCCATTAGCATTGACTTCTTCAACAAGGGACAATAGTTCTCTGGTTTGATTTTTATTAAGTTCGGACGTTGCAAAAACCTAGTTCGCAACACTTTGAACTTTTAGGAAAATAATTGCCTTTTTCTTTTAAAACTTTTGAAACATTTTTAGAAATGCAAAAGTACTTAATCGAGTTTTCAGAAATTAATTTTTTCAAAGTTTCAGGTTCACTTTTAACAAATTCGAAACAATCAACCTCATCCTCCATAGAAATCTCACTCATATCACTATCATCATCAAATTCAGATACATTTTCATCGTTAAGTGAATTTTCTCAACTTAATTTAGTGCATAATGAATCAAATTTCTACAAAGTATCAGATTTAATATAACATCCTGACTTCCAAGTATTAATTTGAAGTTTAAAATCCGCATTTCAGGACCTACTCAACGAGTTTTTTGTCCCCAAATCGTCATTAGAGATGGATATGGCAACATGATTTATGGAACCTACTCGATGAGTTGGTGGACCCAAACTCGACGAGTAGAGGTTGTGCATGAAAACCCTATTTTTTAGGGTTTGCACCCTATTTAAAGGACCTTAAGTCCTTCTTTCTAGACTCCTTACCACCTTTTCACATTTAGAAGCAAACCCTAATCAATCTAACCCTATTTTGAGTGTGTGTGAGGCTAAAAGTGTGTTTTTGGTGCATTTCTTAAAGAAGTTTGAAGAACTAGGAGCTTGGAACGAGAAGAGACTTCTAGATCCAACATCTACATCATTTTGGCATCCATTTGAAGGTAAAAGTCCTTACCTTGATCATTCTCTTACAAGATCTATTCATCTAAGAGTTTAAGGCCATTTCTAGATCATCCTTAATGTATTTCTGATTTTGAGCATGATTTGAAGTGTAACTTCAGATCTGGACTCCTCTAGGCCTCCTTTGACATAAAGCCTTAAGATTTATGAAGCTTTGTCCCTTCTCCTTACCCTAAAACCTATTCCTTAGCATGGTTTTGGCATTTAGGCTTTACATGCACGTAAAGTTTGAAAATTTACGTGGAAACTATACTCTAGGAGGCTAGATCTACAGTCTGGAGCCTTGGTTTAGCTTAAAAGCGTCTGAATGGGAAATTGACTGAAGGGACTCGACGAGTTGGATAGCCAACTCGACGAGTTGAGATAGGTTGTCCAATTTTTTAGATTTTTCATGGACTCGAGTAATTAATTGGATACTCGGTGAGCTGACTCGGGTTTTCGTGATTACTGAGTTCTGAAGGAACTCGAAGAGTTAGAAGTTGCACTCGACGAGTCGGGTCAACATGGACTGTTGACCTTGACCGTTGACTTTGGCTTTGATAATGGGTTGAGCAGTTTGACTTTTGAGGGTATTTTGGTAATTTAGGTATTTATGGAACTGGCTCGTTGGTGGTTGTAGGTGTTGGTGTATGGAGTCGTGTTTTGGGAGTTTGATCTTTTTAGTTCAGTACAGTTCAGCATTGTAAGGTGAGTCTTCCTCATGATACTCAAGGGTCGAAGGCACCAAGGGGGGCCCTTTGGATTGTTATCCTTCTTTATTGTTAGTGTGATTTGTTAGATCGACATCTTGGTAGATAGGATGGTTCTATGTGGTTATGATCAGTTAAATCGATATCCGGGTAGGAAGGATGTTTCTATGCTTAGTGATGTGTCGATCAGTATTTCTGTCTGTAGAATATTATATAAGTATATGATATATGTGCACATGATTGATTGGTGGTTGACGCTTATCTGCTTTATGTGAGAGTCAACAGACCAGGGCATTCCAACCCGATGGTTGTGGGCCAAGAGTATTCCATCCCGAGGATGATTGGACTCATAGTATATGGGCATTCCAACCCAATGGTTGTGGGCCGAAGGTATACCATCCCGAGGATGATTGGACCCATAGTATGTTGGCATTCCAACCCTATGGTCGATTGGACTTATAGTATGTTGTTTGTTATTATATGTGTGTTATTTGTTGTGCGGGTATATTAGGGGAACTCATTAAGCTTTGGGCTTACAGTTTTGGATTTTGTTTCACGTACTTCGGATGATCGTGGGAAGGTGAAGGCGTAAGCATACACTTCCTCGTTTTATGATTTTGGTTTCTGAGAAAATTCTGATATTGATTTATTTTGAAAACAATTTGT